ACTCTGCCTATGTTGACAGCTAAGGGATGAAACAGAGACTGGTACTGCCGTGCTCTTTCGCTTCATTTTATTAACTCCTTTTTTGCTGACATTATATTTCATTATTTTGCAATATGGAAAATGATCTGAAGCGTGGAAATAGAACGCATCGATGCATACACACATACACACACACACACACATACACACACACAAACACACGGACCGACAGACATTGATTTACACCCTTTAGCGTACAGATCCGTACAAAAAACAGTTATGGAAGAAGGAGCGGCTTACAAAGAGATGTCGGATTCGCTTTCGGGCTGATAGAGCGGCGACGGCGACTGAGCGCCCTCCATGCGCTGTAACCTCCAATTCAGGGATCAGGAAGTTCAGCTGCAATGCAAAGTTCAGCGAACGGCCGGCTGGCACCAACGAACATCCGCCCCGAATTACAGGGCCCACGCAAAATGCACGTGAATTTGCCGGAGTGCTCTGTGATCTCCCCTCGCCCCGCCCCCTGGTCCCCTCCACCCCCTCCCCTTTCCAACCCACGGATATCACCCAAATTGGAATTGTCACCCACGTGTAGGAAAACCCCCTAACATCAGTAGGGTACCCCACAGCGGTCCAGGAACGAGGTGACGACGACGCTCATCACACACCCAAAACAGCCGAGAACCGCTAAATCGTCGCAATTATTAAAACTCGGCTCGGCCAGGCCGGTGCCACACACGATTTGCGAAAAATTTTTTCCGCCGATAGCGGGTAACCTTACCCGTGATGCGAAGGGCATCTTTTTTTTAGGAACGGTCGTTACTTGTATAAATGGGCGGGCACCGTTAGGAATTGTGCGTTGCTCGAGCATTACACGAGCAACATTGGGTGTTTACTTGTATTAGTTGCCGTTACACGAGCATTGTTGACATGTTACCCTGTAATCTGATTTTTTCGTGGGCTTCCAATCCGGCAAGTGAGGTGTGGGTAGGGGGATGGTGTATGCGGGGTTTACCCCACTGGGCATCGCTTTCCGGTTCTGCAGATGGGGCAAGAGGGGAGGAAAGAGCTTTCATACGTTTTGCGCTTGGGGATTCGAGACAGTGGAAGGCGCTTGGGTGAGTGGATTGAATGGCTGCGTGACGTAGATGACTTGTCGGTTGCCTAGGTCACGTACATTTTGGAAGGAGGAGGAGGATGGGTGGAAAGGAGGGGGAAGTGTGCTGCTGATTTTTGCCGCAAATACACGGGATAGGGGAAGAGTGGAAATATTGCTTGCTCCCAAAGTGCTCCTACAGCCGGGATGGAGGGGAGTTGAGATGTTGCTTTGCAGGCAGGATTTGGGACGGAGTAGAAAAGTAGGACGAGAACACAAGACAGAAGCTTGAGGCAAGAACTGAAGAAAGCAGTAAAGAGCAACAAGAAAAACAGTACGACGAAAGAAAGTGAATTAAAGCAAACCTAAGCCTATAAATGAAAACGAAAAAAAGTAAAGTCAAAAAAAAAATCTGGACCAAAGGACTAAAACGAAAGGAAGAAAAAAACCAATCCTGTGCGAGTGGAAATTGTCCTACAAAAATCTGTCGTAAGTAGGAGACTTCCCTATTTGTGACGATGATGCTTAGGTAAAGCTGAGGTCAATTAAGTACCACTGCAGAATACGAAATGAGCAAAAAGAGGAGTATACTGGATGCATGAGGATGAAGTCAGCCTTTACCTGCACGAGATTTTGTAGGCAAAAAACAAAGGTTTAAATGCTATGCACAGTCGCAGGATCCCGAAGACATCACGTTGGAATTATGTAAAATTTTTGTGTAAATCTAAACGAACCTATCTGCTTTCAGCTTCACCTAAGCATCAGCTTCACAAATTGGGAATTCTCTTACTGAAGACGGGTTTTTGTAAGACAGTTTGCACTCTCATAAACTCAGGTTTCATTTGCTTTGGTTTTTTCTGTACTTTTATTCATTGGTCCGACTCTTTGATTTTTGCTTTTTTTCCCCGCTTTTTTTTCATAATTTCAGGTTCAGGCTAAATTTCAGGCTAACTTTTCTTTGTAGTGTTATGCTGTTTCCTTCTTTTTGCTGCTGCTTTCAGTTCTTGCCTCAAATCCTGACCAGTACTTTTGTTCCCCTCTTCTGTCCTAT